GAAAATGCAGAAATGTGCTGACTTCCATTCAACCTCTACAGTAATTTCTGAAAGTCTACACAAGATGTTAGACTTTATGCTACTTGAACACCTGCTGCAAACTTCTTATACAATCAGAAAGCACTTTCCTGCTGCTACCTATGCTAGTGAACTTTCACTGTGTTGATTTGTACTAGAAGCTTAAAACACTAAGCATGTTCTTGCAATAAATTTTTGCTATCAGTATCTGAATTTCAGGTCTTGCTTGTAGCTTTGCAAGTGCAAGTGATGAGGTCTGTGCAGGCATTGGTGTGAGCAGCTAGAGAACAAGTTACCTGAGCTGCAAGTACAAAACAGGACAAGCCTCACTCACACAATCAATTGTGCAATTGTGCTGTGTCTGGCTGGGATTGAGCACTGGATTTCAGTGTTTAGTAGCTAGTATGGGGCTATGTTTTGGATTTGTGCTGACAACAGTGAACAGATAAGATCTGTTCCCTTGGCCAGCTGGGGTCAGTTGACCCAACTTCTCATGCATTTCCAGCCTCCTCACTGTTGGGGTGAGAAGTGGAAAAGCTGTGGCTCTACGTGTGAGCACTGCTCAGACACTGATAAAACACCCCTGTACTAGCAGCACTGTCTTCAGCACAGATCCACCACAGCCCACAGGGCACTGTGGAGAAGCCAACAGCAGCACAGCAGTGAAATAAAGCCCTTACTCCTTTTCTTCACCATCTCTCAAATCCATATCCTGGCAGGAAGTTTGAAGAGAAGGACAAGTCACCTAGCACTACTTGAGCAGCCAACACTTATGGTGTAATCCCACATTTGTGTATCAAATATGGTACTTTCTAGAAAAGCAGAAGGTTTGGAGAGCCAGAGCAGTTTGGCCTAGATAGGTATTTAGACACCATAGGTTACTAACTCTGTTCTTCTGGCTGAGTTGGCACTGGACTCTATTGGCTTGCATTGTATTTTCTTGTCAAGAAAAGCCTTTGCAAAAACTGTTTGAGCTTCACTGAGACATGTTAAAGAATTAATTACAAAGTAAAGCTGAAGGAGAAAATTAATTTTGGAAACACAAGAGGTTACTTTTCTTTTCCTCCCTTTTCTGGAAGTGGGGGAGGAAAGGCAGTTATTTTCATCTTCATGCTGGGGGCAGGAGCTGGGAGCTGTCCAGTCGATAACCTGGCCATCAGAACAAGGTTTGTAATTAAAAGGTCACTGACCTGGAAAGCTGGGGCCTCACTCTCAGAGCTTCTCAGTAATGACGGCACTATTAAATTAAGACTGTTATGAAATCAATGCTAAAAAAGCTTTCATGGTAACGAGATTCCATTCAAGGACATGCAAACTGCTTCATGAAATGGACTTAAATTATAAAAAAAAATAAGAGTAATAAAAGACGGTTAAATTGAAATCTGCTGAAGAATTTGCTTTTTTTAAGCCCTCCAGCAGTGGGCTGTGCCCCTTCCCTCAGGTCCTGAAGGTGATTTACTTGGGTTTCTTTGACAAAGAGGAAAAAGGCAGGTTCAACTTCTAAGAATGCAGACTACAGAAAGAGGAAGAAAATTAAGTCAGTTTTCTACTGGAGATTCTGGGGCTGACAGCATTTGTTTCCTGGGGATCAAGTGCCTTTGAGCTCTGACTGGAAAGGGCATGTGGAATTAAATAATTTTTTCATCTCTTCAGAAATCACCATACTCTGGCATCTTGACACTGCAAAAATTTTCTGGAACACTGCTGCACTGCAGAAAACCTTCTGAGTGGACATTTTCCCAACATAACTCAACAATTGCACATTAACTTGCTCTAATGCACCTCTGTTCTTCCATCACTATTATTTCTGAGCTTCTCATATGCTTTCATCAGTTTCCACAATCCCACTCTGGAAAGGCATTACTGTAGTCATTTTACAGATGAAGAGACCAAGCAACTAAGAAAACAGTTCTTCATCCAAGATGACACAACAAGTCTGCAGCTTAGCAGTTTTCCCCTCCTCTGCCCCAAAACCCAGCACCCTGAAAACAAAGCTTCCCATGTACAGTGCATTTCCAACCCCTTTCTCTGTCTTGCCAGAACTTCAGAGATTCAGAGCACACAAAATTAACAAGCCACATGAGTTAGCGGATGGGTAACTGAGCAGTGCAGGACATCTGAGGCACACCAGTTAAATGACAGACACATTTCCACAAGGGTTTAAGCCCCACATGCTGTCTAATTACTCCCAAGGCGCCGCTGATTCTGTGGCATGTCATCAGCAGAATCAGCGAGTTGGACAAAAAACAAACAGCATCTTTTTTTCCTTTCTTTTCTTTCAGATACTCTGAGGGGAAACAGCTGTTTTTCCCTTCATCTGAAGAAGTTCATGATAAAAAGGAGGAAATGTCATAAATTACACAAAATGCCAGTGTAAGCTTCAAAGAAAATGATAAATGATTCTAATAACTTCATGTTTCTCATTAATGCCTCTGTATATGGGAGTTTAAAAGTGCTTAAGACAACAGAGAAATCTCATCTGACTTTTGAAAGCCCTTTTACAAATCCAGGATACCCTCACTCTCCTAACTGTCATCAACACTATATCACCCCATGTGCCAGAGAGAGCAGTTCAGCACCACCTGAACTGCACAGACCCAGGAACGCCTGATTTCAGCCTCTACAACTACTGTTTCACCAAACCCAGTCCAGATGATAATCCTGCAGAAACTTTCATTTCTCATCTCACTGCAATGTACTAAACCAAATCCAGCTCCTATATTAAAAGGGAATAAAATTTGATTGGCCTTTTTGAGGAAGGAGATGCTTACAGCAAAAGAAGAAAGTATTGTTATTCTAGAGAGAACCACCTCTGTGAGTCTCTGAAGCAAAATTTCATCGGCCAAGTAAGGCTTGCAGGACCTTTTTCAGCTGGCAGTGAGACTTCTCTAGCAGAAGCCTCAGCTGGGGATAAACATTACCACTGGGATGGCAGGAAATGTACATCAGAGAATAGAGGGAACAGCCCACCAAACCCTGTAGTCCCTCATGCACTCAGGACTAAACCAGCCATGACTTCTGCCTTCCAAGACTGGCTCTATCTGCCAGACCACACAGGTACCACAACACTGAGCACAGGCCACATTCCATGTGGACATATTGCCAGTGACTGCTGGGCACAGGCACTACTGGACCCTACTCCTTCCTATCTCCTACGGTTCAGTTTAGAAAAAAAAACAATTAGCACAGAGGCAAGGAGGGCTAATTAACAAACAGGAACAAACAAACAGTTCTACCAAACCATTTCTGCTCTTTAGTAATTATTAGCCAAGTAATTCATAAGAAGTATTAGTCCGGCCACAGTTTCTCTGGGCCTCCATCTCCCCACCCTTCCTCTTCTCCCAGTCAGGGATTTATTAAAATTAAACAGATTAGATGGAGCTCCTGATACGAAAAACTGTTCAGCGAAGCCTGCGGTGGGGAAGTGCAGAGCAAACACCAGAGACATTTGTCTCTAAATTGCTCTAAATACCTTCTGCAAATGAAATTCTAACCCAGCTGTGTTGAGAGAGAAAATGAGGACTAACTGGTCATTGTCAGCACAGAAGAAGATCAGGCAGTTATAATATTGCACGATATACTGGGGGCTAAGGATCTCTCGGCAACAATAGATTTTGTATCAGGTTACCCCGGGTAATCAGCACAGCTTTTAGGCTCAGCTTTCCCTTGCTTCATTGCTTCGATGATAGAGTTGAAATCCCCAAGCTTTTATGATTAATTACTCCCCGTAGGTCCACATATTTCAAGGAAAAACTCATGGTGCACAGCGACCAACAGGCTCCAAATTTTAATGTCATCCTGATGGCAGGGCAGGGCAGGGCAAGCAGCACACCTATGTGATTGGAATGTCCTCTTAACTGGCACTAGGACAAGGAGAGGATCACACTCCAGATGATGTGCCCCTGAACCACTTGTCATGGCATCACTGCCAAAACACAAGGCTGCCATTCCCTTCTAGGTCATCTGCTATTCAGGATGAGCACACTGGTGCACACACTTGAACTCTCCATCCCATGACTTCAGGTCTCAGGCATCCCAATAAGCAGTTCGTAACTCCAAAGAGAAAAACACGTATTTCATAGGCTTCCCTACTTTTCAAAGCTCAAGATCTTTAACTCTAGAATTTGATGTACCTTGAAGTACTTATGACTTCAATGTATATGTGGGCCACTCCCTTCTGAAGTCTGGAATTTGTATTTTCCATATCATTTCAACACCTTGCAGTGCTCCAAAATGCACGTAATTAACTTCAAGTTAAAACTGTCATTATTTACATCTTGTGGTAAGCAATATGGTCCCAGGACTGTAGCAAAATATGGAGTGAACATCACCTGGAATGCACTGCAAGTTGTGGAATAAAAACTTCAGAAATGAAATAGGAACAAAATATAGTTCCGCCATGAGTCAGAAAGTAAAATAAATTCTCTGTAGGCAATGACCAAAGTATGCTGCACCTCACTAAGATGATATAGGATTTGTCAGGATCTGTCTTCTATCCCTGCTATAGGAAAGGGCTAAACTCAGTCAGTAGTTTACCATTTCAGCCTGAAAGTCAGGTTGACCCCAAGCTTGACCTTAACCTGACCTTGCTGACTTTTACCAAGTTCTTTGCCTCTCTCTGGCTCTCTTTGGAAACATTTGACCTTTTCACCCAGAGATCGGCCATCCTAAAGCCAGTGTCAGTAAGGTTTGAACTGACCAGCTAGTCCTCAGCTCTGAACCATTCTCATTGCAGAAAAGATCTGATAACAGTTAACCCAGAAATTTCCCATGTGTCTTTTGTATTCTACAATTCCACATCTGGTGCAAATATTGCACTAGTCAGTTGGGAAGAAAAGAGACAGATATTTCTTATAAACCTCAGATCTTCTTTTGAGACAGACTAATTGCTTTGTCCGTAACATCTAATATTCCACAGCAATACTCTACACTAATTCAAGGTCCCTCATTATCACTGAGATCACAACCTAAGGAGTTCATACCTTTCTTCTTCAGGAATGCTCTTCTGGTTGCAAGAGGACTTTGGCGAACCCGTGGATTCTGTAAAAATTTCACTGCTGTCACAATCTGAGGAGGGTAGGAGGATTGGAGAAAAAGAAGAGAGAAAAGATCCAAGTTAGGTATGGTCAAATCCCTATTTTATATTAGACATAGTGTACTGCAAGGTAAGACAACCTTGGTCTGGAGACAACATCAACTTTCAGAAATGGTTCAACAAGTATCAGAGCTTGTGGTTTAAACAGACAGCACAATTATTGTGTTTCAACCTACAAGTTTCTTGTTTAATTACTTTGGGAGCAGCTCTACCTGTACGAAAAAACTCCTTTAAGACTGTTAGGTATTTCTGTTATTTATATTGTGAATCTTCTAACTTAAGTTGGCTCCTACAGTTAAAGCCAACCTTGAGTCAATGCATGTGATCTGTAACAGTTGGCTTATTGTAAGAATGCTTCCTTTCTATCTGACTTAAAGCTCCCTGCAGATTCTGAGATTAAGGCCTTTTCTGCCATCATTCTAATTTATTGAAAGCAATAAATAAACCTCAGTTTCTCATGACCAGAGAAGAAGCGACTTCACATGTTTTGGATCACATAACAACAATCAAAAAAGTCACTTTGAATGACACAAATGGGTAGGCAAGTAGTTAAATTTATATTCCACACCAGCAAAAACCCAGATTACTTTTGTCTACAAACTGACTTCTACATCCTTCTTTAAGGTGACAGAACATCTAAAACAGAACACTTACTACAAGCGAAGGGTAAAGCTGGGATAACACTCAATGGCATCAACAACAACAACAGCACTAGATTTTTACATTTCCATTTAGTGCCAGTGAAAGGTATTTGATTTTTTTCTTCATATGTTAGTTCCATTTTCCACATACTTCCCTATATTGTTACACACGTTATTACCTGTTATTGCACCAGTGATTCCCTCCACTTTTATACAAAAACAGCTGTTCCGATTGTGGCATCATGAGGAATAATGTGCTAACAGCACATCCAAGTGAACCAGTGGAAGAGATTCCTTCTCTAGAGCTAAAATTAACCATCCTAATATGCTAGACCCACGTTACTCAGGTCTTTAAGATTTTATCTTAAAATACAGTTTCTGGAATTCAGTTCCAAAAAGGTTTCCAAAACTTTGACAGCTGAAACAGAAGGGAAAATAACAGCATCACTCCTGAAATCACTAAGTTTCACTTTGTGTTTGAATCAAGCTTGGAATATGCATTTCTGGTCAGAGAGCAAAGTTCTGATGGGTTTAATGGCACTTTCAATGTACTCCTCAGTGCATTCCATCAATGTTTTTTTCTTTTAAATTGCATCTCTTATTTCTTTAAATACATTAATCAGGCTAGTGTAGGCAAAACGGATCCATTGGACAATGCAATAAACATGAATTATCATCTATCCAACATGCATAATGGCTTAAAAATACATAATAGCAGGTGTAGTTTAAATGATTAGTTATTACACCTGTGGTGGGTCTGATTCAATTGGGGAAAATCATCTTTAATAGGTTAAAAGGTTTAGATCACCAGGCTTCCCTTAAAGTGGCTGTAGAGAGGGTATGATGGAGTACGCTGTCATTACTAATTCATTTAAGAAAAACATGGGGGATACAGCAAAGAACAGCATAAACGAGCGAATCCAATTTAAACATCAGGTAAAGCAGAAAACACCTTTTAAAAAAGCATGATAAATGAATTTGGAAGAGAGATGAAATTGACATATTTATTTTAACGGGAATTTGACAAAGTCCCAGCACACTTCAAAGTTGGGAGGATAAAATGAATGGGGTATTTTTAATTCTTTTCATTTTCTTGTTTTCCTGCATTTTTTCCTCAAGTTCCATTCAGTAATTTTGAACCACAAAACAGCAGAGCAAAACACCCCACATAAAGTACACTTTGGCTTCATTTATGTGCACTTGATCTGTCTCCAGCTGAAATGCAGGTGACAGGCAAATCGCAGATTTAAACTGTGCTGATATTGCTGTGCCAGATGCAGAAATATAAAGCACCCAAACTAATAACCTTAAGATAATATGCTGAATAAGAAAGATGCCCAAACGAGCAGCCCGACAGACACGTGAACATATCAAAGCCACTCTCCTTCTAACAATAATTACTTGTTTGTGTCTTCAGATACTCCTTAACACTCCCTCCCACATTTAGTGAGATAGACACGAACGGCCTGCAGACTTGCAGTTCTGCAAGCTCTTATATTTAATTATCAATTTTTAAGTATTACAAAACCCGTGAGAAATAAGCTGTATTTTTCATTGTGCTATTTCAATCACAACCATGTGAACATTTCATTGATTCTAACCCTTTATTAAAGCTTATTTTTGCCATATAAAAATGTAAACATTTCAGTAGTAAATTTCAGTCCAAAATAAACTTCTATTTTATCTCTCCCCTGCATTACTTCCTCCGTTATTCACAGCCTTTTTAATCTTAAAACAAAATGAAATTACAAGCAACAACAAACTCCACAAAAAGAATGCTGGACATGTATTCCTCCCTCTGGTAATCCCACGTTTCTCGTACTGTGTTTGCATTTACCCCTGAACATTCGTTCCTATAGGCTGAGCCAAAATGTCTTCATTTTCATAATTAATCTTGTATACATGAGCAACTTTCGAAGCAATTTTGGCCATGTCAAAATGCCAATATTTTCAACAAACATACACAAGAATTTCCCTACCTTCTATGGATCATTTTCTTTGCACAAACAAGAGCAACTGCACTCCATAATTTAAACAACAGAAAAAGGAGGAGGAAGATGAGAAGTCCTGTGTACAGCCAAAAAAATCATGTGGCAAATAGCACTCTGACTCAGCTGCTAACATTGTTCCATACTATTTCTGTAGCATTTGTAACACTTCTCCAAATTTTTATGGTGTTAGGACACTGCCAAATAATGAGAATTGTATCACTGCGTTCATTCTTAGACTGCCAGCACGCACTGCCGAGCAGACTGGCTTTATCGAATGGCTCAGGTACATGCTTGTATTAAAGAAAGAAAGTGTACTTGGCTTTGAAAAGGCAGTCAGTGCCATAAACTTGCTTTCCCACCACCACCTCTCCTGCAGTGACAGGATCCACAAAGACATCTTTCTGACTGGGTGGAGATGGGTGGAATCCTGCAGCAGGTCTTGTCCTACAGTTTGATTTTCCAACTGAAAGATCAATGTCACTATTCATAGATTATATTTGCAACTGGATAAATGACTTAAATTCGGGCCAAATACTCTGCTTCGATGTCAAAGATATAAAATAAAGACAGAAACTTTATTGCAGATGCTATGGGAGAGCAGAGGGCTGGCAAAATTCTGGGCCAAAGCACAGCACTTGGATGATAACTTAGCAGCCAAGATCCTTCAATCCTAATTTCCCTACCTTTTGTGTTAATGGGGGAGCTAAAGACAGCGTTATTTCTTATTGTGCTCAAAGCTGCAGGGTTTCCAATAAAGCAATCTAAGCTAATTTATCAGTTGCTTGCATTAAAAAAAATACACCATGAAATTTAAAATACCGTGGCAAATGCCTATTTTCTATCAACTAAAAAAAAAATTAAAAGAAATGTAAAAGTTCTTCACTAATAAAAGTTACACAGGATTTGGTAAGAGAGTTCCATGTGGAAAACAGACTCAAAAGCCACTCAAAAGGGACTGTAAGTGTAAGCCTGTAAGAGCTCTAACAGATTTCCTAATACTGGGAACCCTCTGTAGGTTATTACTAAACAGCATTTGTTGATAGACTGAGACTTTGAGATGACCTGTGATGTAAAGGTTGGGTTTGAATTATACGTTGCAAGGGATGGTATTTTGTCTTTCTGAGTGGATCTGTATCTGTTTAAAAGCAACACTTCTTTTCATTAAGCAGAGGCGGCCCAGGCCATGAACTATGCACAGACAGTTTACATTACATGTGCGGAAGCAATCAACACTGGCAATATACATGACGTATGTAAAAGAAGTTGGAATTAATTTTTTTCTAGTGTATTAAAAAATAATAATATGGCAGTATCAACAAACACTCAACCTATTTCAGCCAGAGCAGAAGGCCACAGCTATAGGGCAAATGGAACTGATCAATATATTAGCCTACAGCAACACCCCCTCAGTGTACGGCTGTATGTTTGCAAGGCTCGGAAGATTAAATTGTCTGTGAAAGGTTTCTGCACTCCTACTCTAAAGGAGATACCCAGAATCCTGTTAACAAGCATCAGGCTGAAGCCAACTTACGTTTTAACAAGGGCTGACTTAAAAGCCTGGCACAACAGTGAACAAGAAAACCCCTTGCAACTGAAATGCTGTGTTTTAGTAAGAAATCAGTGCCCTGCCAGGACTAACTTGACAAATATGGTTATCGGTGGCACACGGAAATAGTTGCAAAGCAGCTGTTAATCAGGGAAACACATCATAGAACGCTGATGCCAGCACTCGGGAAAAATGCAAGGGGCTAATTATGAAGCCGTATATCTCAGTAAGGAGGCAGCGCTGCCGCGTCCCAGCGCGCTCCCGCCCGGCTGGCTGGGACACCAGCACTGCTGCTCTTCCACCCCAGCACTGTGAGATCCCTGTGCCACACTGCCAGGACTGTGACATCCCTGTGCCACACAGCCAGCACTGTGACATCCCTGTGCCACACTGCCAGCACTGCTGCTCTTCCACCCCAGCACTGTGAAACCCCTGTGCCACAGCACCAGCACTGTGAAATCCCTGTGCCACACTGCCAGCACTGTGACATCCCTGTGCCAGCACTGCCAGCACTGCTGCTCTTCCACCCCAGCACTGTGAGATCCCTGTGCCACACTGCCAGGACTGTGACATCCCTGTGCCAGCACTGCCAGCACTGTGACATCCCTGTGCCACATCAAACACTCACTGTTTGTACAAGAATTAACTACAGTCCAGTCAGGGGAGGAGGAAAGCTTTGAAGCACCTGTGATTTCATTGAGATTTAAATGAAAACATATAGAACCCCGGGAATTACTTCGGTTGAGATACAGCCTAAAAACTGACAAAGTTCGGCAGATCTCAAAGTTGGATGGAGAAGAGTTTAAAAATGCTGTAACAACAATGTCAAAGCTCTCATGTAAAACAGTGAGGAGAAAAAATACAATTGAAAGCAAGATTCATGGGAACAAAGGTGAGGAAGAAACACACTTTGAGCCGTATCTGAGATGAAGAATTTGGAACTAAGATAATCCAGAATAGCAGCCTCCAAAAAAGAAAAAAACAAAACATCAAACAAACACATACCAAAAAAAAAGGCCACACACACACACACAAAAAAAAAAAAGGCCACAGAAAAAGCACCAAAAAACCAATCAACTGAAAAAAAAAGTAAAAAAGAAAAGAAAAGCCAAACAAAAAATAAAAACAAAAACAAAAATCCCACAACAACAACAACAAAACATAATACAACACCAAAAAGGGGAAATCCTGGGTGCTCGGAACTTGGACTGTGAGTGACACTAACTCAGAGGCACCCACATGAAGGGTGAGGAACCCGGTCCTGTGTCCCTGTCATGGGTCCTGCTCAGCCTGAAGAAAACGAGGTTCAGGGGGGACCTTTTGCTCTCTACAACTCTGTCACAGGAGGTTGCAGCCAGATGGGATTTGGGCTCTTGTCCCAGAAAACAAGCGACAGGAGAAGAGGACACAGTCTTAATCTGCATCTGGGGAGGTTCAGGTTGGACACCAGGAAGTGTTTGTTCACAGTATTCGACACTGGAAGGGGCAGCCCAGGGAGGCGGTGGAGTCACGGTACCTGAGGGCGGTCGGGGAAAGCCCGGCCGCGGCACTCAGGGCTCTGCTCCAGCCACCTGGGCTCCGTGGGCCCGGAGCTCTCACTCTCCCAGCCGGACCCAGATCCCTCTCTCTGTCCCAGCCGGACCCAGAGCTCTCCCAGCCGGGTCCGGATCTCTTTCTCTCCCCC